TACAGCTGTAGAAGGGGTGGATAGAAGGAGGTACATGATGAAGGAATAGAAGAGGGAGGCGGAAGAAGAGAGAAGGGGGGAATCGTCTTGGCGCGACAACGCTACGAGTGACTCCTCGAACACGGATTTGACGATTTCGTAAAGTCATCATAACAATATTCGGAAAGTTCCTTAATAGTAATTAATGTCGAAAAAAGTTAAAATTTTGCTCCTTTTTTTTAAAAAAAAAAATAAAATAAAATAAACACAAACCAACGGTCCGTTGGCCTGATCTTGCAGGCTGGGATCTTGTAAAAATATTCCTAATAACAGGAAATGTTCCTTAATATTAATAATTAATTTCGAAATTTTTTTTTTTAAAAAAAAAAGAAGTCAATTCATACAATCGATCTGTTGGATTGATCGTGCAGTCAGGGATGTGAGGACCACGAGAAAACAATTGTTTTTAATACATCATCAATTCTAGGTAAATGTTACTTACATAATTATTTCTTCCCATTCATTTTCGATCACGGTTGAAACAATAAGTTCAAGTCGAAAATAAGAGATCCCATGTTCATAGGCGAACCTTGTCATGAAGCCCTCATAAATCATTATTTAAGAAATTTAAAAGAGCATAACTTGCTTTGATGGAATAAATCTTCAAAGCAAATAACACCATCTAATTATATGAAAGATTAAATTATTTTTTGTTGTTTTATGCAATAAAAGTAACTTTTGATTTAATTAAATCTTTACCTATTCCTTTTCACGTTATTGACTTATATTTTATTGGTTATCAAATTTTATGGATCTAATCTTTTAGGTACTTCAATATATCCGTTCGTCAAAACTCTTTCTTTTCATGTAATATTATTATGTTTCATGATTTAAAAAAGGACGCAATAAATTGATAGAGTAAATTAAAATAATAATAAAACACAGTAACTTACCTGACATTAAACTCCAATGCCTTTATTCTGATGGATTGCAAAATAAAAAAAAAAACTATAAAATAAATATGGGAAATAAAAACGCGCTTTTTAAACCAAGCCACTGCATTGAAAACGGTAATGATCATCATCGAATAGACGCAGTAAAAAATCGTCGTTTATAAAAAAAATCATAAAAAACAATCTATCTTTATTGTTTTTAATGGAAACGTAATTATAAATTTTTTCCAGCAATATTATTTTGCAAACTTCAAAAGAAGAAAGACAAAGATAATTCTAATAATAATAATTAAAACAATCATAATATATAAGTTGTGTTTGAAATCAATAGAGACTTATGTATTAAAAATAATGTTTACATTAATTATCTATTATTTATACAAATTATATAATTCATTATATTAAACTATATCAATTACTATTAATATATTATAAATTTAAAAAAAATTGAAAAAATTGATTTTGTTAATATAAATTTTAAAATATAATTGTAATTTTGAATAATTAAATTTATTTTTTAAAAAAAAATCAAAAGATTTATTGAAATTTTTAAAAAAAATAAGCCAAATCAATTTTTTTTTTTTTTTAAAAAATATAATTTTTGCGTTATAGCCAAATCATTAGTATCACGTGATATTAACATGAATTTAAAAATTTCAGGCGACGTTTTTTCCTCCACACAAAGGTCCGAAGACACGTGTATGTGATTATATTAAGTTTTGAAAACGTTATAATATATATAATGTTTTCAAAGTAAAAGAAATAAAAAATATTGTATAATTACATATACAAGTAAGTAATCACATTTACGAGGAAAAAAAAAACGACGTAATAAAAATTATCACGATCAAGGAAAAAAAAAAATAATAACCCCAAAATAAATAAAATTTTCCCTGTACAAACTCGATTAAACATTTGAATAAACCGTTTTCTCATCATTAACTTCGACATTTTCATCATTTTCAACATCACTTTTGTCATTTTGAATTTGATTATTACTTTTAATACTCCTTCCACTTTTTCCACTAATTCCACTATTACTGCTTTTAGAACTTTTCATTTCTTCATCATCTTCATTAACAGTACTTAATTTTATACTCTTGTCAGTGAAAATACTTCTTGTTGATCTTCTTTTTTTACTAACATGTCTATTCCTTCTGACTTTCATTTTCTTTGGCTCTTGTAACTTTGGTGGTAAAATATTTTTCTTTTGATGGTTAAGTATAATAATCTGATATAATACTTGAATTATTGAAGTGATAATAAATAAATAAGCAAGCAAAAGCGATATAATATAAGCGTTACAATGATCCAATAATTTTGTTGTTATAGGGTATGGAAATGTTGAACGTGTACATATCCTTACTCCACTTGTTGAGAATAAAATAATTACATTGGGTATAGCTAGGAACGAAAAGAAAAAATTAAATTATTTATTGAAAGAAAACAATGATTTTGCAACCAAAATTTATCTTGCACTTACTTGCGAAACTCCATAATATAAATAACAAGCTAAAATAAAAAGGAAAAAAATTAGCGTTATCGCATCTCCAGAATTTCATGCATTCATTTTACTCACATTTGTTTTGGTTTATCATCATAATTTTGTAAATTTTTCCATCTTTTCTCGAATGAATTCAACGACAAACCTATGCATACGTAATTTTTAATTAGGAATTTTCGGGATAATAATCTATACATTTCAATAAAATAAATAATCGAATCATCGAATTTTTTTTTTTTACCTAATAATATAATTGAAGCTAATATAACGATCCAATAATATACTTTCAATATAATTTTTCTGAAAATAAAATAAATCAAAATATTTAATTTTTAATTTTCCATATTTAAAGGATTAACACGAAACATAAATAATTACAATGGACTGTTTGTATAACCAATCAAGTAATCCCAATCATTTGTGTGTTCAATAATTGGTTTTTGAGAATAATCAATTACCGCTAATTGTACAACCTCTATGCTCGTTCAGAAAGAGATTAACAAAGAAAATTAGAAATAATATTATAAATTTAAATGAATCAATAATTTTTTTTTTAAAAAAAATAGACTTACCACATATTCCTATCCCCAATATAATAAAAATTTGTAAAACTAGTAAATATTTAGAAACTTTCATTGGTGCTTTAGATTCCATTATTAATTTTTTTTTTTTTTTTTAAAAAAACGAGATTTCTTATAATATATATATATTTTTTAAAGAAAATTAAGTTCTAAATTTTAATAAATAAGATATCGTCGAGAATTCCTTTCTTCTTTTTTTTTTAAAGAAAAAAAGGTAATATATATATATATTTTCCTTTTACAATTTATTATTGCCCTATTAAACGTTACTGATATTTTTTTTTTATTTTAATATACTTATATAATTTATTCCGTAAAACTTTGTATTCTTTTAGCCACCAACACAAAAAATAAGTGCAAATGGATTTAAAACCAAGATTAAAATTTCATTGAAATCCACCAGAGAATACAACACATAAAACACCCTTAAGAACAAGAAATGTTGGTGTAAAGGAAAAAAACTCACAGAGTTAGCAGGCACATGTTATTTATACGTTTTTTTTGTTATCTCTTCATGAGATTTACATTACATTTTATTCCGTCCCCTCATGTCCCCTCATACAATTCAACTGATAACAAATCGAATCTAATTTGGTTTAAAAGAAGGTCGTCGCACATAAATTAATTAATGTGAAACTCCATGTTTCCTATATAAAGAAATTTTAATTTATTTTGTAAATCCCTTTTATATACACAATTGATTTTTAATGTATCGAACAAGAGCGTGATCAAAAAGATCTTCATTCTTTATACCTTATTTTAGAAATTATCTAGAATTTTTTTGGTTACTACATTCATTTTACTTTTAGTTTTTACAATTACTAAAATTAACTTCATACTGTTCATATTGATCAATTTCTTACTTCATGATATTGATAAAAATCATTTCTGGTAAATGTCAAATTATGATCTTTCCAATTATACTTCATATGTTATAGTGTAGCAATGATTGAACAGCAACATTTCCTGACAATTGGATGGCGTGTTGTGTCTACTTGACGAATCAGAATCTTATTTTTATTATTTCAAAATGAAATCGTTATGGATGAAAGATCTCGTGGAACTTACCGTTTGTCAACATTTCTACAAGTGGCAATAAAATAAGGCCATAAAGAGTTTAATACACAATATTTGACATGCCGTCAGACCTAATCATGATGAACATTTTTGGCCACATAATGCGATCAAATCGATTTGTTGATTTTAAAATTACATATAATGGAGGGTTCCTAGAGCCAATCAACGTAACTATAATTTAAGTTTACATCTCGTTTAGCTATATTTAGACCTTCTTTCCTGGATTACTTAAAATTAATTCTTACACTTTTCTTTTATTTACCGTTATCTTAAGACCATTCATGCCGCCATAGCTTAAAAGCGTTTCTACCAGCTCAAATACGCCAACATCGTAGAATTTATCAAAGATGATGGATAGAGTAGCAAAAGATCTTATTCATAACATCTTTAGTTTATCGAAGGTGGTGCATATGACAACTTCATTGCTGTCTTGGCCACGTCTTTAAATTAAAAAGACTCGTTGATTAGATCTATAGAAAATATTTTATATAAATAATTGTTAATTTATTATTAAAGGAGAACTAAACCAATAGTTCAAAATGAGTTCCGGTCGTTATTCACATTAATTTTAAACATCAGACCTTACATTGTAGCCAAGTAAAATGTAAAGAAGAAATATAGCTATCCTAGACTAACGGTTCGAATTCTATGCTCACCATCTATGTGAAACATACTTGGACAGTTTTGATTTTCGCTATTAATATTCCTTCCTCTGAAATTTGAAAGTCGAAATTTCAGTAATTTTATATAAATGTAAATAATGCTTGACATTAGAAAGAAAAGAATTTTTTTCAAATATATTTAAATCATGAAATCAGTCCAGGCACATTATATATATTTCAATCTCACATTTTTATTTGCTGCGGTCAAGATTTATAAAGTATGACATAAATTTTCATGATCACAGACCTTTCTGATCTGAAAATGTAAATATTTGCGCAATCTTTATATTAAAGCACTAATCGAAATCGCGCTATTTCGCTATTTCTGTTCATCATTTAGAGTTTAACGTAATAAAATTATCAAAAGTATCAATTACAATCTTTATAGATATTAATAAAGACGCAAAGCCTTATAAAACAAAATAAAACCAAGGACCTAAAATCATTAAACGACTAGTACTTGTTCGCTACTAGATAAGTACCCAGGTTGCACAACGTGGGCGTCAGTACTAATCGCAACCTATAAAAATGGGCTCTCTATTATGCAAAGCTGACAGTCTTTCTAAATCACTCCTGAAAATTGACTGCTCCTAATTTAATCGCGATCGAATTCTGTCATTTCTGGCAGTTCTAACATTTTGGTTCTTTCTAAAATTTGCAAATCTGGACAATATGTCATTCGGCCCTTTATGACATATTTCTTGCCTACCTTGATATGTTCAAGGTATTCCGTAGCCTTTGGAATGAAATTTTTTTTTTTATAAATAGACTTCATTTTGCTTTGTATTTCGATAGCATAGAATTACGGATATTCTTTTCTCTTAAAGCCTATTGTAGAGTGTAACAAACATAGATGAATTCTTTGTATTTATTAATAAAACCTTGCTCTTTCTTTTCTTTGTTATAATTTTATCGCCTACATAAAATTAATAATCCCCTCCCCTACAGGTGACTCATGCCACTGATGCAAGGAGAAAAGAACCTTTGGGTTTCTATCAACTTTTTTTTATTTTATTCTTACATGTCCCAAGTTTTCCTTCTTGGCGGTTTGTTATCCCAATTCTGTCCTTCTGGACATCCTCTCAGGAGTTTGATAACCAGTTTTTTTCTGGTCGAGACTCTCTGACTCCAAAGGAACTTCGTCCGGAACCAGTCTTTTGGAGCAGTTTCCAAAGAACTTCTGGTTTATGATTTTTGTATAATTATCTAATATAATATAAATTGTGATCTCCCCTTAAGTAATAGGACCTCGTCGGTCACGTGATATAAGTTCAAAATTTTGAAATATAAAATATTTTACATTTCAAAATTATATTATGTAAAAACTTTATAAGATTTCATAAATTTTATTTAATCTTTTATACAAAGTTATATATAAATTATGTAAGTTTTATATAAAATTATATCTTTAAAAACTTTCAGATAAAACTTTTATTTAAAGTTACTAAATCCTAATTTTTTAATAAGTTTTTCATTAAAATTGATTACACTTTATATCATATATTAAGTTTTATTACTGGATTATTAATAAATTGAGATTAAATACAATTAAATATAACAGACAATTTTTATAATAAAATTACTATATATAATTAGACTATATGTAATATATATTTTAACATAAATTTATTAGTAATCTGAAAATTATAAAATCAGCTATAAAGTATCATTATAAAAAAGTTGATTGAATTATAAATAAATATAAATTGCAACTAATATTAATTAATAAATTACTTTTATATTTATATTTATTAAAATTTTATTTAATTTTAAATAATTATTAAATATAATCATTATTTTTTATTTTTATCTCTTAAATTATATTATCCTTTAAGTGTATTAATAATTAATTTCAAATTTTTAAATATAAATATTTCTTATATAGATATTATAAATATTATTAATAAATTAAAATTTAATATAATAATAAATTTATTATTTAAGTTATTTAAGTTATAATATGATTTTTAAAACTAAAAGCAATTATAAAAGATAAATATAAGATAATAATTAATTTTTATATAATTTAAATAATTTAATTTTTTCTTTTTTTTTTATAAAATTAATATAAAATTATAAAATTTTACAAATGAAGATAATTATAATCATATTAATATCAAGATTTTAAATTATATAAATATATCTTTATAATTATTATTAATTTTAATTCTAAGGATTATAATTATAAAAGAAAATAAATATATTATTTATTTTTTTTATTAAAGATTTTTAAATAATTATTTTTATTTTCTTTATTCTATAAACTTAAATTTTTTATTATAATAATTTATAATCTCTTTTTAATTAAGTTTAATTCCTTTATTTTAGATAAATTTTTATAAGAATAATAAATTTATTAAAATTGAATAATTCAGAATAAATTAAGATAACTATTAATAAAATTAATCAATCATTAATAAAGTTTATTTAACATTTAATCAAATTTGCTAATCATAAATAAATTTTGTTAAGTAATTTATCAAAATTTAATAATACAATTATTTTATTCAATAAAATTTACTTTAAATTCATTCTAGTTAATAAATATAAAATTTATTATAAAATATATTTTAATCAATAAAATTAATTTTCAAATATAAAATAATTAATTTATAAATAAATATTATAATTAAATTAACAAATAGTTTATCAAATATAAATAAATTTATAACAAATTTTATCATTTTAAAATAAATGTTATAATTTAAAAAAATATATTTTCAATTAAATTAATAAAATGTATTATTTTTTAAATAAATTTTGTATTCTTAAAATAATTTTATTATTTGTAAAGCAAAATTTTATCTTTTATTAATTATTATATAAGATATTATTTTAAAAATAATTCTAAGTTTATACGAGGTGTTTATAAAATCAATAAATTATTTAAATTAATTACTTATTAAGTTAAGATTATGTTATTCAATTCCAATAAGTTATAATAAGGTTTAGGTTAAGTTATATATAAGTTTTCTATCTAATATTACATTTTTTTAAGTGTTCAATTCATTTTTCAAAATAAAATTTTATTATTATATATACATTATGTGATCCATATTTAAACATTCTATTTATAAATAAAATTACCTATTTTTAAAATTAAATTATAATTTATAATAAATCATATAATATATTTATTAAAATTATTAGTTATTTTACATTTTTTATTTATAAATTATTACTTTTAAATAAAATTTATTTAATTTTAATTTTTTTTTACATTTATTTTATAATTCTTTAATCACTAATAAATTTTAAATATAATCAGTTTTATTTAATACAATATTTTATAATAATATTATAAAATATTTTAATTATATTTATAAATAAAATT